TCATTTCGTAGATGTCAGGATCCCTTCTGTCATCTCCATCTCTCCACAGAAAGCGTCTTCGGGTCGGATCAAAACTTGGTGGAACATCTCCTTGATGTCGCCACATCACCTTCTCTAAAATGAAAGAGCACAGCTGGCAAGGGTTTATAATGTTGCGGCCCTTTGGCCACTGCCGAATTTAGTGATGTTCCACCAACTCTTGCCGCAGCGTCAAAAACCAGCCTAATCTTTCCCGGCTTGTTTGGGTTTTCTACTCCAAAGTGTGGCAGATACCATAGCCTGCCACTTTCCACTGCGACCTCATGAGGCTTCAACCGTCCAGCGTATCCTTTAGACACGTAATCATTGATGATCCTAGTGTATTCCTGCGCGAACTGCCCGTTGCGCTTCATCTTCTTCTCGACGTTGACCAACCGCTTGAACGCCATGTCAAAGCTTTGAGGAAGCACAATGTTGTCATCCTTCCATAATAAACCTGTCTGGTAACGTTGCCCCACTCTTACCGTGGTATCTTCCAATGTCTTCTGCGCCCGCACGTCGTCGCTGCCGGCGACTGGTGGCGCAAGCTTCACACCAAAGTTCTCAACATCAAAATAGTCTTCCACCATTCTCTGAATAGTGTCATCAGATGAAACAGCTAGGAAGCAGGACCTCGGCGTAGTTGATTGTCCACTTGTCGGCCCAAAGACAACCCAGCCCAGCTCGGTTGCGGCCGCATATGGTCCCTGTCTGGCAAACCGTCTCGTTCCAAGTGGAAGTCCCAAGTGTCCGTAATCCAGTCCAATGAGCAGTTTCGGTTCCACATTGCTGTAGGGCCTCATTGGCAGGCGGGCATCCTTGTGCACGCCCTGGACATCTCGTCGGTGTAGAGTCTGCATCGGCAGGCTCAGGTTCGAAACGGAATACACGTTTCGCAACGCATGGCAAATTGGCTTGCCTGCTCCACTGATTTGCAGACTTACCACGTTGGTAGGCTCCCTGGTGGATCTACCGCCAAACCACTGGATATTAAGATGTCGACGCTCACCTTGCACGCCCAGCTCCTTCCTGAGTTCGTCGTCGATCATCGTGACAGATGATCCTTCATCCAGGAGTGCGTATGAATCCACCCGTCGACCAGCTCCATACAGCGTTACTGGCAGTATACGGAACAGCAGGCGACCTCGTTCTGCGTCGACACAACTTAAAATCCTCTGTACGGGCCCTTCCGCTGCCTGCGGCGCCCCTCTGGTCTGTACTGGCGCATCCACTGCCTGTGGGCCCCTCTGTCCAGGCTACGTCTAGAAACAGCTGACTGCTGGTTCCGCTGGCTGTAGCTTCTGTTACTGCTTCGTTGCGGCGACCTTCTTCGCTGGTCATCCACACCATGCAGCAGACCATGACACTCACCATGCTTGTTGCAGGAACTAGTCATGTGACCACTTCGTAGGCATGAAAAACATAGTCGATGCCTCCTCACATGCCTCCACCTGTCTGGTGGCGAAGCTCCGTTGAAATCACTGCAGTCCTTAACTGCATGTTGTCCTCCACATATTGGACAACATCTGAGTCGACTGTCTTGATGCTCGCCTCGGTCTTGGTCGATGCTTGCATGCAGCAAACGACGACTTGGTTCTTTCCCTTCGACATCCATGATAGTACATACCACGTTGGCGTACTCCGTCAACCACGAACTAAAATGGACAATGGTTGGAAAGGGTAATATTAAAGCGGCATGCCTTGCCCACTCCACTCGTTTGCTTGTAGGGAGCTTGGCCACAAGGTCTTCCATGAGGGTTGGGTTCCCCAAATGCTGATCTGCCTTCGCTGACTGCAAGAAGGCAGTGAGATTGCTCACACGGGTTGCGAAGGGTACAATCTTCGCCAGGTTGTGCTCCGAAATGGAAGGCACCTCTCGAATTCCATTTAGCTGGCTGCGTATAAGTTGCTCCGGTCGGCCATACCTAAAGCGCAGCTGCTCGATCACAGCGCTGTCGTTACTTGGATGAATCAGGAGCGACTTGACGGTCTCACGAGCTTCATCCTTCAGCGCCTTCAATAAGCGTTGGTTATTCTCCAGATCAGTACAATTATACGCGTGAGTGGTTTCCGTAAACGCACAAAGAAAAATCGGCCAATCATCTGGTTGACCACCAAATACTGGCAGATCGGGAAGCTTGCGTGGCATATAGTTTCCACTGCTTCCATTCGGTGTCGTCCAGGCGTAGGACCCCGCTAGTGAAGTCGGCGTTATGACGTTATGGATCCCTATACCCGGCGGCACAACTCCACGCGCTGTCTGGGCGGTGCTGGTTGCACAAAATGGCGTAAAATAGCTGCTGCTCATAAGCAGGGATGGTCCGCTACATAATGGTGGTTCAATAAATGCTGCACTGCTCGCACCGACTCCGTTATATGTGATCGGATCGCTACTAATCGAAAATGGCGTATCGCTCCAAGATGGCGTCAGCAGTGACACCACACTACTCACCCCGACATCGCTCGATATTACGGTAACGGTGGCAGTGTTCACGTTGTTTCGGGCTCTTTCCCTTTCCAGCTCCTTTTCCAACGCTGCAATTTTCTCCAAGAGATCTTGGGTTGGAGGTGGCTGGGCCTGTCCTGGTACTGAAACTCCAGCTGTGGTCGTAATACTTCCAGGTTGGGAAGCCGCGCTCATTGTTGTTCGAGTCGCTTGCTCCTCGTTCAACCGGCTACTTCGTCTGGGAGAATGTTGCATCCTTCTATTCTGCCCAGTACTCCAGCTAATCGGCTCTGTCTGCGTCTACTCTGGGTCGCTGTCTGCGGCCCGTCCAATCTACGCTGTCCGCGTCTCTGGCAACTCTCTTACTTGAGGTGGCTGACTGCCTGTACTCAAGCGCAAGTTGCCCTTGCAGTCGACTTGCCTAGGACTGCGAATAAAAGATCATGTCGGTGGTCCCACGGAGTTGCCTTCAACGGCCGATATACCCCCAGAGAAGCAGGTTTTCTCGTAAGCCCGTTTTATTCTAGATAAGAAAAGATGGTCGCATAACCTCTTAGAAGTCCCACAATATTCTTACCGCAGTATTTCCTCCTGCTCTAACCACGCGATAATACAAAAGTGCTGAAAATATGGCGGCAATTCATCGTGGCCGAAAATATGCCCGTTCATTCCAGGGCTCAAAATCCATACATTTCAATATACTAGATGTACTAAAAATATTTATCGCTACAAATTATCGTCCCGCGAAAATGGTTTTTTTTTTATGGTGTAGTTTTTTTTTAAGAATTTTTCAAAATCTGGTATTATTTTTGTTTTGTTTTTTTTTCAGAGGTAGTGCTTTTATTTTTCACATAACTTTAGTATCTTATATCTGCTTCCATAGAACTTTGCAGTTCCGAAAAGCTGACAAACTATAACAAGCTAACAGCTATAAATCGTACCCAAACACTTTGTATCTGCAGCTTACCGCCTGGAAGATATTAAGCTTTGAAATTCAAATTTCATAATTTTTTTCGGTATTTTTTTTCCAAATTTTGATTTTAAAAACTCGGGAAAAGTCGATAAAAACAATAATTCTTGGCCAATATTTTTGGTTTTAGATAGACGCATTAATTGGGCGTCGTTTAAGCTATTGCTCATCAGAATCTATGGATAAACGGTCAATTTGGAGCCGTTTGACCAAAAAAACTCAAAAATAATTTTACCTGAAATTAATGATTTTTTTCACATAACTTAAGTATCTTACATCTGGTTGCATAGAACTTTGCAGTTCTGAAAAGCTGCCCAATGTAACTATAAATCGTACCCAGACACTTTGTATCTGCAGCTTAACGCCTGGAAGATATTAAGCTTTCAAATTTAAATTTCAACATTTTTTTGTGCTGCAGGCACGGGAAACTGCGGAAGCTTCCTACGAGCCGAAAAACAGACCACAATACCAAGCCGAGAAGGTACCAAAGGAGATGGAATGAGCCCACGAAGGGCAGATGGACGTTCTCCCTCATCCCAAACTTGTGGTGCACACGAAGGCACGGTTTCTTGAACTTCGACGTGACAAAGCGTACCTGCATCGAATTGGCCACGACAGCGATGGAGATGGAGCGGAGCACATCTTATTCACCTGTCCAACGTTTAGAACCGAGAGGAGAGATGGGATAAGTGTGTGGATGATGTCTAAATAAAACCCACACCCAACAGAAGAATCGAAGAAAGCGTTTACAGCAACGACTGCTAAAAAAAAGCGCTACTGCACAGAAAGTTTCGTTAGCGAGAGAGCTATACCATCTATTTGGATTTGGGTGATAGAGAGAGAGTGATAGAACAGCTACAAGAAGCGGGCTAAATGCAATGTGAGGGCGTTCACATTGATAATACGCATACACTGACGGTGAAAGATGGATTTTGTGATTAAAGGTTAATTAGGGAGTTTTTCTAAATTTTATTTTTCAACAATAAACCAGCTTTTTAGGAAAAATAAAAAAAAATTCGGAGCGAAAAAAAACACGTCTGCACACTACGAAAGAGAACGAACCACAAAGTTTGTAATATAAAATCTCAAACATGAAAGCGTTGACACTTTTCTGAGGAATCTTATTTGGCTTTGTAAATTCAGAAATTTATTTATTATGATTATGATATCCGATTTTAATGTACAAAATATATAGAAAACAAAAATGTTTGCATTTTCTCTTCTTAATAGATTGCAATAAAGAACATACAGTTTGTTTTGCATGTGAAAGAACTAAATATACAAATGCCTTTAAAAGTATCTAAAAGTGAAGAAATCACAATTTTTCAGTTTTGAGGCTAATTTCCCCATGAAAAACAACAGATATGCTATGGTTCCATTGTATTATGCAAATTTGGACATTTCTTTATAAGTATACACAAAAAAAACGATGAATTTGAACATTTTATTTTTCGGTCCTGGTTGACTTTTCGGCGGAAATGCCCATATATATATATATCAACAATGATTTCCAGTTTCTACCGGGTCAAGGCACTGGACGGACTTAAAAAAATTTTAGTTACTTACAGCGCCGATGCTCACGATTCTGTCAAAATGGTGAATGTAGACGTGTACAAAAACACGGAATAATCGAGTTAAAATTTTTCGACAAAGAGCAATAAATGTTTTTGGAAACGGAACATCTGAAAAAATATGAGATTATTTAGATTAATATAAATGGATACATATGTATATGGGCAGTTCCTATCTGGCGTTACGTTACATTCGTACGAGAAAATGTTGAAAAAAATAGTCAAAAAGCTAAAATTTGTAAAAAAAAAAATTATCCTCGTTGAATGAACGTTGGTTAGACCTACATTCACCAAAAAAATGAAAATAATCGAGCGAACGATTTTAAAGATATAAGCCAAAGTATGACCTAAAAGTGCGTTACATAAAACAGAAGTGGTTTTCGAGGTTGGGGTACAAAATGGCAAAACTCTGCGAATCTGTATAACATTTTTTGTGCTAATAAATGAAGTATTGAGAGTTAATTTTCAAACTTATTAAATGTAAAAACTTTTCCTGTTTTTTTGTTAAAAATCCGCGGAGGCATCTGGCGAACGTTACTGGCGTTACGTTACATGTTTTCATTGAACATTTTTTTTTCTTAGAATGTATTTAAATGAATTCTTAACGCAAGTAAACAAAATTTAAAAGATGTACAACTTTTTTTTAAATTTTACTTATTAAAATATTTATTATTTCAAGATAACAAAAAATTTATTTTATATGTAATGGGTTATGAGTATGAGTAATGGGTTACGAATGATCAGTAGAGAAGTAGAGAATTATTGTTATATAATAGTTTTATTTGAAAATGCAGTTTCAGCTGCTTTTATTTGCATGTCTTCGCTGCTTGACAAATAATGCATTGCATGTATGCCAGGTATTTTCTTCACCTTCTTCCACTTTTCAGCTAGCCCAGTCGAAAATTCGTCTATTTGTTTTGAAGAAATATATGTTAAATTAATTCCTGCGAGATTGTTTCGAGCACACATGTAAAACAAATAGGCGTTGTCCAAAATAATATTCTTTGTTTTTGTAATCTGCCAAACTTTTCGTTTTATGGTTGCCCCTACACCATCGACCGCACCTTTGCCGTGAGAGGTTGCAAAATAGTTCCACTCCAAAACCTTGCATCCGAATTCAGAAACAAAATCAGGTAAAGTTCGAGCTATATACTTGTTTTTAAATTGGGAGCTGCTTCCATCTGAGAATATATAAATATTTTTAAATTGTTCGTGTTCTGTTTTAATGATCTCCACAAGCTTTGTCAAAAAGCAGCAAACATCGAAGTTATTGTGGGTGAGTTTGTCACTGATTATAGCATACGACTTTACACCGCTCATTACCCAAGCAACGCAAGTAAAAATGGTAACCTGTCGGTAGCTGAAGTGAGCGCTCTGTATCTCATTTTGAAAAATCAATCTGTAATTCTCTGCAAAATCAATTTGCAGAACCAGATCTGCTGCCTGAATATATTGTTTTTTGGTATCAAAATACGTTTGCTGGGAACGTTTAACAAAAAAGTGAAGCTGAGCATCTAGTTCGTTATTAGAAGCGAATATTGGGTAGAAAGAGAACCTTCGGTGCTTGTCAGAGCAATCCGGTCTTCCACTTTGCGCCAATGTTTCCATTTAATTATTTCATCCATTATAGAATAGTATTTTAAGGGAACTAAATCCATTTTTACATTCCTTGTACAATTTCTACAATTACCCATCATACATTCTTTATTCACTATGCTGCAACACACAGATTTCAGGAATGTTTCGAAATTTGTGGATATTGTTTTTATAATTTCTGCACTGCTTTCCAGGAGAAACGAAAAATTGGCATGATACATACACACGCACATATTATGTGGGATCTTGCATGAGAGTAGTACATGTTTTGGTCGCAATTCGTAAAACACCGTCTTACTAACGTAGTTAGTCCCAATCTCCTTCTTGTAAAGTTCATATGACTCCTTCACCGTCAACAACATAAAGCGCTTGGCCATTATCACGCCATCGACAATTAAAGTGTCCTTCCGACCAGGAGCTTGTATACTAATATCGTCGCGCAAATAAAATTCTTTAACATGTTCTTTTTCTTTTTTCGATCCTGAACTGATTTTGTTAAAAGATATTGAACCATATTCTTTATATAGTAAGTCAACAATATGTGCTCTTTTCTGCGGGTCTTCTGGCAAAGCAGTTTTCACTTTCTTGAAAGCTTTTCCAAAAGTTTGCTTGCAATTGTAGGGCTGACCCAGTGGGTGAATGACTGTTTCTGCAGTTTTACTCTTCTCCCTCAATCGGAATTTTTCTACCCTCAAACAAGTTTGTTATTTTCTTTTGTCTAGCCGTTCTTTGTTTGCCTGATATAACAATTTTTTTCTATGTTTTACCGCTCTCTCTTTTGCTTTTGCACGGACCATCTCATTTTTCGCTAGGTCCGATTTCATTTTTTTCCTGTATCGCTCTGAGTAAATTTTCCCGTTATTGCTAGAATCCATCTGTATAACTGATAATTTATTGTAAAATCATAATAAACCAGACAGAAATAAAAGTTACTTACAATCTGGCGTGACGTTACACAATTTAGAAAACTGATATAAAATGTAGTAGCTGTAGCGTCCTCGCGATTTTTGTTGAAATGTTGTTCTACGTTGAAGCTTTGTTAAGTCGCTAACTTTTATCGACTTTTGATCAGTAGCGAAGACACAACGAGAAGGAACGTGCGAGCCGCTTCTGGGGACGCGACTCTACTTATACCCGTACTCAGTCAGCATATACATTTTTGAGCATATGATTTTTTAGAATTTTAGAATTAAAAAAAAAATTTTACATTTTACATTTTTTTGCTACATATGTTATCTACATCTACATATATTATGTATATTCTACATCTAACATGTAGATTCTACATGTACCATTTAGATTCTACATCTCCTCCGCTAGGGGTTGCTCGCGCACTGAACGCGGCAGAGTGTGCGAGCGAGAAGGAAAATGAGGGGTTGTCGTTTGCGGGAGGGGCCAGGGGAAGCAACTGAAAATTAATTTCTTCATTCTGGCTATAATTATGATCAGATCTGATTAAGATTCGGCAGTCTGGTAGATATGGGCATTCTCTACGATACTGCGTTTTTAGTTTTATCGTATCTTTAAAAATGTGCTTGCCACAGATTTTCGTCCTTTGCGGGGGCGGAAGGGGGCGGGGCGAAATTTTGAAATACACTTGTAGCAGTGGGATATCACATGAGTCTGGAAATCAAATTTGGTTGCCCTAGCTCTTATAGTCTCTGAGATCTAGGCGCTCATCGAGACAGACAGACAGACAGACAGACAGACGGACAGACAGACATAGCTATATCGACTCGGCTATTGATGCTGATCAAGAATATATATACTTTATGGGGTCGGAAACGTTTCCTTCTCTGCGTTATACACATCCACTTTTACCACAAATCTAATATACCCCTTAACTCTTTTTTGAGTACGGGTATAAAAAGACTAAATGCTCTTTTTCTGGCGTTACGTTACATTAGAACATCGCTCAAAAGCAAATCAAAATTTTACAGTTAATAGATATTTGCTAGCTGTCTTTCATTTATTTTACGGTTATTAGTTATTGGAGCAACAGTTTTGCGATAAGAGTGCAATCGAAGATGTACTCTTACAAATTTAATGTGTAAAGAGAACACGCTCTTACAAATAAACAAAACTGCCCAAAGCATGAAGTTGGACTTTGAAGCCCGATATCTCGGAATCGGTTTGAAGGAGACCTGTGATCTCTTTAGATTATTTAATTTCAAATATTTCTCTTTGGTATTACAAGTAAAAAAAAGCTTTTGGCTAAATTTTAAATTTTCGGTCGTGTTATATGTATGTACTTATAGGTATACAAAACGAGCGGGAACTTTGGCCCTTGGCGCGGCTCTACTTTTTTAGCCGGTACTCATTCAGTATACAGGTGAACTTGTGATTTATGTAACTTATATAATATATTTTATACGTAAGTGCCGGATTTGGTATCAATCTAGTGACCGATTTTATTCGAATTTTAAAATATTTTTTATGTTTAAATTTTTCTGCAACTGCAATGCACGATGCAGATTGTGTGAGCCAGAGGGAGAATTAATACTGGGTTAGAAAAGACGTAGCGTTGCCACTGCAACTAGATTTTTGCATTTTGTGTATAATAAAATCCATGATAGGTCTATATGATGATTTCCTCCATTCCTGAGGATAATAGCCCCAGTTCATTATGCTGTTGAATATCACAGTAAAGAAAATACACTGCACAGCTCGGCAATTCTATGATCATTTTAGGGGAGATGAAATCGTGACCCGGAGCTTTCTTTTGCTTTGAGATTTGGTCTTTAATGATTGGAATATGATAGGCGGAGTAGCTTCGGTATTGTTGGTTGGTGAGAGCACAAAGCTATTTGTGGCTGGGTGTAGTTTGAATACGTTTTCTAGATGGACGGCAAATGTATATGCCTTCTCTTTGTTGCTGCGAGCCCACTCTCCTGTTTGTGTATGCAAAGGTGATTCACTCTTGATTGGTGGGCATACGCCTGATTTACCTTTCCACAGTGGGAAGCATCGTTTGCTAGTTGGGGAGAGTTGCTCCATATAGGATATTTGACCTCGGTTTGTTTCATCTTCTAGGGCTCTGCGTAGTAGGTGGTTGGCTATTTTTAGCCGCTCTTTCGAGGCAGGTGATCTGTGTGCTTGCCACTCTCGGCGAAGCCTTCTTTTATCGCGTAGCAGCACTTCAATGTGCCTAGAAATACGACTGCTGTTGGAAAGTTTATTAGATGCTAATATTGGTGTTGAGTGTTTTGCCGCCAGTGACATTGAGGATACCAATGCTTCGACTGACCTTTCAATGTCATCTTTACAATAAATGTTTGGGCAGCTATCAATATGAGAGCCTATGAACTTCCTGTATTTGAGCCAATCTGTTTTGCTAGAAGTTAGAAAGTGTGGGCGTTCTGAAAGCTGTGAGCTTGCAGTACCCTTCGTGTAACTGCAAAATCAATCAAGTCGGGTTGCTTGTTTGGATCTGTGGGCCAATATGTGGGCTTGTCTAGCTTGTTTCGTGGGGTTATTATAGCGTGATATAGTTGTCTTCCTTTCGGGTTGGTAAGTCTAGATCTCCAATGGGTGTGCTTGGCATTGTAGTCACCAGCTGCTATAAATCGGTCACATAGTAGGTCGAAAAATGTTACAAATTCTGTTTCGGAAATGCAGAAGGCTAGGTTTAGGTAGCCGCTCCGAATTTCAATATGAATTGCTGTTGCCTGTAGATAAGGTGTAGCAAATGAAGGCAATGGATAATGCCTAATGCGATTCTTGATCAGAACGCCAGTACCTCCATGTGCCTTACCATCGGGATATGAGCATGGCGTCAATGTCGTGTTGAGCGAGGAACAATTGAGGCTCAATTTTCTTTTCATTTGCACATAGCGATCGAGCCCAGTCTGAATTAACGCTCCGTTAGCGTTTTTCGAACTTATTGGTTGGGAGAGGTGGGGCTTGTCACGTGGGTCGACAGTATCGGGCGCTGAGCAATTGCAGTGGTTGTTGTGGTCGAAGACACAGTTTTGAGCGTGGGCATTGTACTAGTTGTTGTCGATATTAGCAAATCGTTGGATAGGCAGTACGAGTCGGGGGATGGGCACTAAGCACTCCATGACCCACTTTGCAATGCAGGGGAGAGAGAGCGTGCTCTCTCCTCGTTCACTTGCAGTGATGCAGTATTTGTTGGTACTGATACCTTTGGCGAGAGTATAGAGAAGTACGCGTTGTTTTTTGCTTGCGAGAGCCGACGCTCGTCTGGTTGCTGTTGCCGGGCTTGGCTCATTTTTACTTTGGTTACAGTGCTTGTGCTCTTTACCGAGCTGGTGATCTTATACGTTGACATTTGTTTTTTTTTATTATTTCTATTATTTTTTATTACACGATTGGATCATATTCATGGGCAGCACGAGCACTAGTACCCATGCATACCCCGAGTGCTTTTTCGCGAATTAATTTGCGATTAATTGATTTTCACGGGCACAATTAATCGCAAATTTAGGCACGTCAGCGGCAGTTCTTTCGCCTCTTTATATCGCCTTCTTCGTTTCGATACTGCAGCTGCAGAATCTATGCTGTTTTCTCGCACTCTATCTCTCTATCTATCGCTCGAGCTTCTATCTCTTCTTTCGTTCTCTCTCTCGCTTGCATTAGGGCACGGGCAATTCGGTCCGCCTGCCCTCTTTTAGCCATTAAGTGATCGTGATCGTTATCATTATCTTGATCTCTTATACTTGATCTACTTATAACAAAATAAATAAAAACACATAAAGTATATTTAATCCGCTCGAGTTCCTATTTTACTCTATGTCAACAGACGCCATATATTTTATGGCGTCGGAAACTCTCCTTCTTTGCAGGAATTTAATATTTATGCAGGCGTACATTTATTTGAGTATAAGGTATAAAATTTCGGCGTTGGAGTATTTTTATTTTTGAGATTCGAACCTTTGCATTAGCGAATTTCAATCTGTTCTCCAGGGTTTTATTAAGTAATTGTTAAATTTAGTTTTAACAGTATTTATCAAAATTCTGATTCTAAGTAAGACGTATGTAGGTATATACTAGAGCCTTGCAAGAAAGGACAACCGAATCGATTCGTGCAGAGAGAATGAAAAAGCAACACAAAAATTTGTCCTCTGCCTAAAAATCTCTAGTTGTGTGTGTGATATCTTGCTTTTAACTGAAAAAATTTTGAGTCGAATTCGACTGTGGGATAGATTTTTAATGATCGAACGCATTAAAGAGGCATGAGTATAGCTGTGATTTTATGAATACTGTGGATTCATGCAGGGCTCTAGTTTATAAATTTATCCGAGTTTGCACGTACATACCAGTGGATACGGGGAATAGGGCTTCATTGTTAATTTGAGTCTCAGTCCAGTCCATTAAGTGTTCAATATATTTTTGAGCCGGGAGAGCAACTGGTTTTTTATAGCTAAAACCGGAAGTACAGACAAAAAAAAGTTAGTCAGTAAACTGATTTCCCTACGCAAACTATCAGGAACGAACGCTCCTACACGGCAAGAATTGGTTAGCGAGAGTGAGATCTCTAGAAATTAAAATTTTTTAAAATATATTCGTATATGTATATGTAAGTCAATTGAAATAGTAATCACTTTTAAATGTTAGCAATTTAAATGCTTAAATGTTAAATAGTAAGTACCTACTATTAGACTTTTTGTTACTAGCGCCCTAATTTATAAGTAATATGCTTGTCGCGCTAGGATAGAATAATACAAAACACAACAAATTTTAGTGCATTCATGTAGTGTATGTTGTCTTAATATGTTTTAGCCCCACTCTAAAGACCAATTGCAATATTGTGCAATCCAGCGATGACCCAGAGCGAAACTCGCACTTTGACCAACTTCCGAGCTGACCATAATATGACTCGTCAGGGAATTCAGCGTGAAAACAATTAGAATATGGCTTTGTTGCCCAACGCCAAAAATATACCTGCATAGTATCAACTCGCCCTTATCACTTTGTATAAATATAACTTTTTAACACTCAAAGAACATTGGTCCATATATTACAAAATAATATTTGAAAATAATATTAAGGAACCTTTGTTAATCACAAACACCCCTAATAAATCGTTTGATCCCGGAAAAACTCTTGTGTATGGTGCCCCCAGTACAAATTACACCAGGAACGTATAGAATTAGCCCAGAAAAACTTCTTACTTTTTGCTCTGCGTGGCCTTAACTGGAATGCAGGTGTGAGACATAATACAATGGTTCCATAGCAGATCTCAGTTGTTTAATGAGGAAATTTGCCTGAAATCTGAAAAAAATGTGATTTCTTCCCTTTTAGCTTCTTTTAAAGTTTTGTATATTTAATTCTTTCACATGCAAAACAAATTGTGTTTTTGCACTTTTTCTACTAAATCTCTTTATTGCAATCTATTAAGAAGAGAAAAATGCAAACCGACCAAAACTACTAACCAAACTTTTTATTTTGATTTTAAAAGTAGCGGAAGTTTGCGGCCGTGGGCAATGTTTTTTTTTTTTACTTTTACTTTTAATTTGTGAACAAGCAAATAAATATTTACAGATGTCTAAAGCAAGTGAAAAACGTAACCGATATATCAATAAAATTAAAGGCGATCCACAGAAGCTAAAAGAATTTCCCGAAAAGCAGCTGAGAGAATGAAAATTTTCTATTCTTGTTAGATATGTTCCATATATGGTCCATATATGGTCTACGCGGCATCACAACGGGCCGTAACCGGCCCAAGTGTGTCGGGTTCCTAGCGATCCCGACAACCGCCTCAACCTAACCCAACCTAACCTAGATATGTTATTACACACATAAAATGGACTAATAAGTTTTTTAAGGATATATGAAGTGATTAATGGGAAAACGTGAGGTAAAAAAAAAAATACATATGAAAAAATCGTACGTTCGCGACCAGTATTAGTTGAATTAAAAAAACAGCAATGGAGATAATTGTATGTGAGTATACTTGATAGAACGCAACATTAATTCTCTTTAAAAGTAAATTTATCGCTTTAGAATATTGCATTCCCATTCGAAGATTTTTGCATTTTACTAGATTAAGTCAAAAGCGACTTCTATTGTTCGCGACCGGAGGTTTTTTGCAATTATTATTAAAACTAAAGTTTGATGAACCCGATCATTTGCACTAAACATAGAGCTAACAAAATGCTATTGAAACGTAAAAAAATTGTTTGGGAAAGTTTTTGTTTTCTATATTTTTTTGTGCATTAAAAGCGTGGGAACGTACGTTCGCGACCCGTTCAAATAGCTCAAAACAAGACATGCATTAAAAAATAAACCAAAAGATTACTTACTATAGATATACTAATAAAATTCGAATTAATTAAGCAGATTTAGCTATGGTTAAAAACGAAATGGGAAACAAGCTAGTTAACGTCATAAGCTACTCTGGTCAGCCGTATCCATACAGTTTACCAAGGTCGAATGGAATTTTCAGCCCCTTGTTAAATGAAAGCTCACTGCTTCATGATCTTCGACTAGCTAAGCCGGTGTTTTCACCAGGTCCTGACGGAGTTCCCGGCTGTGTACTCAGGTACTGTGACGACGCTCTGTGTGGTCCCCTGCTTAAACTATTCACCCTATCCATTAACTCTTCATGCTTCCTATCAACAACAACAAATTTTTTAGAGTTTACCTCTTTTATCATTAAAGGCTTTCAAGGTAACTTGCAGACGGATGTCATTTACACTGATTTCAGCAAAGCATTCGATTCTGTACACCATTCCCTTCTAGCACAAAAACTTGACCTTTTAGGGTTTCCGCCTAATCTTTTGAGATGGATTTCTAGCTACCTTCGTTCTAGGTCTCAAAGAGTCCTCTTCAAAAACTCCTTCTCTTCACCTGTTAAGGTTACTTCTGGAGTACCACAGGGCAGCCATCTAGGCCCCCTACTATTCACACTCTTTATTAATGACCTGCCTTTAGTATTAACAAACTCTCGAGTACTCATGTATGCGGATGATGTTAAACTCTGTGTCCAGTATAAGTACATTTCATTTCACTCTCGCTTGCAATCCGATCTCAATAACTTTCAGTCATCGTGTTGTGAAAATATGTTACACCTAAATGCCTCGAAATGCAAAGTAAGGACATTTCATCGCTTCAGCCCCTTTTTGGCTCCTTACAACCTCTGCGGTGGTTCTCTTGAGAGAATTGCCTTGGTTGATGATCTTGGTGTTAAACTAGACCCTAAGGTAAAGTTTTCTGAACACATTTCAACCATGGTAAATAAGGCCATGGGCGTGCTTGGGTTTATAAAGAGGTGATCAAAGGAATTTGACGACCCCTATATAACGAAGACTCTCTATATCTCGCTTGTTCGTCCGATTTTAGAGTATGGCTCTTGTGTATGTATCAGTCCAGAAAAACTTTTTACTTTTTGCTCTGCGTGGCCTTAACTGGGATGCAGGTGTGAGACTGCCATCTTATCCTCGTAGATTGCTTTTAATAAACCTTCCAACCTTAGTTAGTCGTAGAAAAATGCTTGGTGTGATTTTTATGCACAACCTGATCAAGGGTGACGTAGATAGCCCTGACTTGTTGAGCCGCATAAACTTTACGATTCCTATTAGATCTACTAGAAACTTCATTCCTTTGTTCCTTCCGCTTTGTAGATCGAATTATTCCTTGCACGAACCATTTAGGGTACTTTGCTCGGACTTCAATTCCCTCTACCATATAATATCCACTACTAATTCCCTTCCTCTTCTTAAATCACTAATACTAACATACCTTTCCAGTAATTAGTACTATTTCTTAGCTATCTTTGCATGTTTAGCCCTTTGAGTTGTGTTTAGCTCTAATTTTCGTCGAATTTTAGTCTAACACCTATCTTTCCTGCATGCTCGCGATCGGTTCGGTAACACGCGTCGAGCGTCATGCGACAGCGCCCCTCGGTCGGTTGGGCGGGAGGAGGGACTGCATTTCTGCCTGGGTTCCGCGCGTAACAGGCTTCGGCTTGGTGTTGCATGGGCCACTTGATGGTGCAGTCACTGCATATCAACGTCCAGACCAAAAAAAAAAATTAAGGGTTCATAAAGGTTTTCTGGTAGATGAAAATAAAGAGATTTTTATTTCAGAATGCAACGAGAAAAGACTATCAAAATTTTTTTAAATTATTTAAAAATTAAGGAGTGGAGCGAGCGAGCTGTTAAACTGCAAAAAGTACTAACAAGAAAATAAAATAAATGAACATTTCCGTTTCATGTTTTTCGACGTGGATTTGTTGGTAATACCAAAAATCTTATTTAAATTATAGTGACAGCCAAGATGCGATAAATTCGCTAATTGCGATAACATCGTGCTCGGCTACCGTGGCAAACATCGCAAATATCTCCACGAGATGGCACATCAGTTTGTTATTAGCCTAATATGGGTCCTGGGCCACCGGGACATCGAATGCAACTGAATAGCAGATGAGCTGGCTAGAACTGGTACTACAATTCTCCTTCTCCAAGATAAGGAGGACATTCGTATGCCAATGGCCAATTGTAATCTCAAAAGAAAAGAGCACTTTAAGCTACTAATAGACAATAGATGGCACACAGGGCCACTATAACGCATTAATCGGCCTAATGGCCTAATATCACAAAAAAGCGCACCGAGGAACTTTGCAAACCCAGCAGGAAAAGGTGCAGCTCAGTCATACGTTCCCTTACGGGACATTGGCTAATAGGCACTCATGCAAACAAATGCTGACATAGTGTCTCACGAGGGAAAAGGACATGATCTATACGGTATCACAACGATCCGAAACCGGCTGAAGTGTGTCGGGTTCCTAGCGATCCCGACAACCGCCTCCACCACCTAACCTAACCTAGAATTGCAGAGTCGCCAATACATTAAAATGGCCGGTTCTCATTTCTTGACCATTTGAAATAATTAGAGTTATAATTTTTGTAATTCTACGGAATTATCGGTCAAATGCATGTGTAATTTGATACGCATGTAGAAATTCGTTTCAGTTGATGAAGGTTAAAGTCAAAATTAAAAAATTAGGATTAAAATATGTAAAAATAACTAAAATATTTGTCTATGAATTTTCATGTGAATTATATATTCATTATTAAGCTTGCGTAACTCGTTCGGATGATATTTTATCTTTTTTTGTGCAAAAAAAAAATTTCCTGGAACTATAATTCTTTAAAAACAGTGGAAGTTCGGAAATTACAACCCCCACAAATTAGAACATTCTATATATTAGAACCGGACATTTTATTGCATTGGCGACTCTGAAATTAGAGCTGGAAGAATTTTTGTATTGCCCACACAGTTTTGCGTTTTTGGTTGAAGTGAAAATAAAAATGGGAATCCCCGAAATTTTTGTTGTATATACAATTCGGTCATATGCATGTGTTATTTGATAAAAAATTTAAATTTAAAAATAACTAAAAAGTTATTTTATGAATTTTAATGTGTTTAATCAATATATCTTAATAAATAAGAACTGTTTTGCATTAAAATAAAGCTTGCGCAACTATTTTAAATGAGGTTTTATCATTTTCTGTTAATATTTTTTCTGTCCAGAAATGTCCAGAAAATATAACTTTTCAGAAATAAGAAACTACTTCCACTGTTTTAAAATTAACCCAGGAAATAGATGGTTCTAATTTCTGATATTCTGCTGTAAAACGAATTCAGTAGTGTACGTTTTATGCTGCAAATGGAATTCCACAAAAGTTGGCTTAAGAAATCTTTTCAAACCAAATGGTCGCAAGTTTTAACGGAATGAAAACCACCCAAAATATCTAATCAAGGAGTCAACTGACTTGCAGACATGTCCTCTTCCCTTCATTTCATTCAAAGCTAAACAAAAAAATTAAGTGGTTAACACTTCCTTTCAAGTAAGTTAGCCGATTCATCCGGTTGCATGGCCCCTTGTATTTGGTTCGGCCCTCCAGGCGACGATCATAAATCGAGCACATTATTGTGTAAACCAAGTGCACCATTTGGCCGAGACTCGTAACAGCACACCCAAGAGTAGCAGTACCCACGAATGTGCCGCGTCAGCAAATTGACGCGGCGCCGACTGCGCAGCAGGCGGCCCAAAGGCTAATCTAATATGCTGTTTGCATTGGGGCTGCGTCACACTTCTTTGCGTCTTGCCGGAGACGTAGTTTTTTTTACATATGTTAAGCATAGGACCCTAGTGGTGGCAAAAAGTTGCGTCGCTCTCTGATGCATGTGCGTCTATTCGAATTATTCGATTGCTTTTGCGCTTTTCTGACCACTAATAACAACAAAAACTTGTAGATCAAAAATCAAATTTTGGCACTAAAAATGTATGGTTGTGCAAAAAGGTAAAACTATACATAAAATCATTAAATAAAATACTTGAAACTGATTGTACGACCATTTTTGTGACACCCTGATGCCATTAAGACACTGCTGGAGACGAACTTCGATGGTTTTCATAATTTGAAGAAGAACTCCTACAAACTCTACAAAGAAATGTCTGAAAATAATAAATAAATATGAGAACCAATTCTCTTTCGTCCATTTTTTTGTCGTCTTGCATAATTCTGTTGATTTCCCAAAATTTGTTTGCTTTCCTTGTCATCAAGCACCCAAATCAAAATTCAAGACGCACGTCTGCCAATGTGAACGCATTTTCTGCTTCATTGCGTCTATTCCGAAAAGTTTGAAAAGGCTATTAAGAGTTCAATTTTTGTAGATTTAAATTACACTACTCTACAAAATCGAACTTTTTTTTCCTCAAGGATCCAAACTAACTTTTTCTGATAGATATGGGACTTTAAATTTTTTTAAAGAATTATGGTTTTTTTTCTATGGCATAATTTTTTTTTGAAGAATTTTTGAAGGCTGGTATTTTTTTTAAAGCTTTTATCAGAGGTTTCGCTTTTTCACATAACTCTAGTATCTTACGCCTGGTTGTAAAGAACTTTGAAAAGATAAGTAAAACAGCTAGAAGTTAAGCCAAACAGTTTGTGATTTCAGCTTTCCGTCTGGGAAATATAAATATAAATTTTAAAAAAATATATTGAAATGCAAAAATGATGATTTTTGTGCGGAGTTTTTTTTAAAAACTTTAAAAGACTTTAAAAACTCAAAAGTCGAAAAAAATAATATCCTGTGTTCTCTATCAGGTACGCGTTCAGGTAACAAATTTACAAGCCTTTTTCGTTTGCTTTGTTCCCAATTGGTTGTTGGGCCCGCAACCTTCAAAAAGGTATTTTTTGTTCATTTTTTTTGGTTTGGGTAACGAATTTTAGCTCCAAAGTTTACCCATAGATTTTAATGAGCAATACCTTAAACGACGCCCAAACCTCCACAGACATGCATAACTCCTCCTCAAAGTAAATTTTGCAGCGGAGTTATCACTTTTCGCTAATTAAATAATCAAACTTAGAAGCTATATAATTCTGTGCTAATAGGCATTAAAACGGAATTATTTTCCGCGGAGATATTTTCTCCGTAAAACTGGATTTATGTCGGCAGAATCATGACGTTACAACTTATTTTGGCAACTTATCTGCGATATCTGAAGGAAACCTAAATCGTATATTGATTTCAAATGGGTTAGGCGCATAAAAACTTACATATCTCCATCTGCCCACAAATACTCATAGCGGGAGCCTCCAGACATCGTTGGACAAGTTGATTCGTCGCAATACTCGGAAACAGTCCCATAAATAAGGTTGATACGATTGAAAAAGTCGACAACTTAGTAATAAAATTAAAACATTTTAAATTTTAAACTTGTAATTAGATTGTAAACATCTGTACTGCAACTTACCATGCACAGCTAACCAGTCGTTCATGTTCTCCCCTGGAGGTAACCGCACCACTTGACGTAAATTTATGCCAGATTGAAGACTAGCTTGGGCTTGCTTGTAGAGAGAATATCTAATTGTGCCTGCCGCAAAGCGTTTTTTTGGCCGAAAAGTCTGCAAATATATATTTTGTTTGAGGAACATGCAACTGTCGAGGCGGATTCTGTATAAAAGTTTATTTGGATAAATAGAAATATCGTACTTTGCCTTTTTGAAAGAACTCAACAAATCCATTTAAAGCCATATTATAATTTATTTCCTAACACAGATAATATTCAGTGGCATTTCATTAAAACGTGTAATAATATATAAATATTTACGTTTGTACTAGAGAAGTGCAACACACTGTAAAAAAATCGACTGTACTATCGATTGATGGACTAAATATTTACGGTATTCATAAAAGCAATTAAAATTTACTTCATACTATGCGTTTAACATGAACGGGGAAAAGCACCGTATGCCACCAACAACCGGTTCAATCGCTTTGCTCACACAACCCTTCACGCACTGCGCACAGCCTAGTACTCAGATCCAAAAAAAGTAGTCTAGCAAAATCTGGGATGAAAACGATAAGAAATTTCTTCGAGCACAAAGTGTTTGCTAGCGACTGTACGCCGAGCAGTCACAGTTAAAAAAAATTAAATACCTATTAATACTAGAAAAGTAGCCAATGGCATTTGATGGTATTTTGGTAGGCCCAAGATAGATAAAGAAATGTTCTATATTCCGCCAGCGTATATTAAATTTATTGTAATGGACAACAACAAAGCCAAACAATACAAGCGGCTAACGAATTCTCCGATGAAAGCATCGAACGCAATAAAAGTTGCACATCCTCCTCCGCTGCTACAAGAGCCGCCAATTCGACTAGTAGTAATTTCCAGCTTTCGTACATTTTTATACCCGTACTCAACAAGAGTTAAGGGGTATATTGTATTTGTGGTAAAAGTGGATGTCTGTCTGTCTGTCTTGATGAGCGCCTAAATCTCTTAATTTGGTTTTCAGACTCATGTGAGATCACACTGCTACAAGTGTATTTCAAAATTTCGCCCCGCCCCTTCCACAATCACAAAGGACGAAAATCTGTGGCAGGCACATTTTTCAAGATACGATAAACCTAAAAACGCAGTATCGTAGAGAATAACCATATCTACCAGAATGCGGAATCTGAATCAGATCGGATCATAATTATAGCCAGAATGAAGAAATTAATTTTCAGCTGCTTCCCCAGCCTCCTTTAGAAAGAAACCAGCTAATCATTCTCTTTCTCGCTCGCATACTCTGACGGGTTCAGTGGTAAATGTGCAATCTACTTGTTAGATGTATAATATACATTGTAGATGTAGATAACAGATGTAGCAAGAAAATGTAAATTTTTTAAATTCCAAAAAATCATAAGCTTTACGGATATATATTCCCGTCCCCAGAAGCGACTCACACGTTCCTTCTCGTTTTAATAACTTTCATTAAATTTTCTCTCATATTTCACAAAGTAAACAAACCAACACACCTCTTCTCGCACTAGGCCGCTAGAAAAATATATGACACGTTTTGCTAGCAAAACTTTTCTTATTGATATGGAATAATATATAAGAATATGAAATAAAATAAGAATTGCTTAAGAATTTTTGTAGATTTCTCGACTTCTAAGGAAATAAAAAGAAAAAAAATGAAGGTGCACGTCGCCCCTTGAATACCCTAATGGACAATTTTTCGAATACGAAGTCAATTATGATATACATTATTCATTGTATAAACTGGCACAAACTGGTATAACTTAGGCATCGGGAAGTCGTTTTTCTTTGCCCTTGGAATAAAGATGACTTAAACCTTCGGCCATTTACATTGTATAGAACCAAATGTGATACTGGCTTTGATTGGGCGGCAGTGCTAGTTCTCATCTGGTACAGGTGATTTGTATGAGCTAAAGCTTTCTATAGCCCTTTGTACCTTGTTTCGATGGAGTACCTGGTAGAGTGTCCGATCTAGGATGGATTGCTAGTGCCTTCCTCTCTGCTCGCCATGACTTTGATTGACATTGATATGCAATGACTGAAACATCAAGGGGCCCATGCGTCACCAAACCTGTTACGCAAAAACGCAACCAAACGCAACTCCTTTCTCCCAACCAACCAAGAGGCACTGCCGCGTAGCGCGTATAACCGAACCGGGCGAGAACATGCAGGAAAGATAGATCTTATACTAGTATTTGAGGAATATTAACAATAAACACAACTAATAAAACTAAACATGCATTACAAAAATAATACTAATTACGGGAAGGGTATGTTAGTATGTGATTTAAGTGATTTAAGAAGAGGAAGGGAATTAGTAGTAGATATAATATGGTAGAAGGAACTACACATGTATAATCCGAGCATAAGACCGCAAACAGTTTATGTAAGATGTTCGCTCTGCGGCCCTCTAATTTTACTTCGCTCCTCCTAAAAAGTTTTATTTTCGGCGTTTAATTGAAACTAATTGTGTTTTATTAGTGTACCTTGTGTTGTTAACCGACCGTGCAATCTGTCCACTACCTGTGCTCATTTAGTTAACGTATTTTTGTGTAATAATTTCTTATTTAAAGTCAATTGGTCTTTCTAATTTCTTCCGTGAATTCGTAATCACAGCTGTGTTGTTGTTGATATATGCTCGATGCACTCTCTCTGAGCCGCTCTCTACTTTTATCTCAGCTCTAACCATTCTTCCTACAGTGCAAGTAACTGACGCGCTCTGTGTTTATCTCGTCTCTCTGTGTCTATCTAGCTTTTAAGCTTTGATTGCTTTGATAAAACTAACTGCGTTTCGAGCGGCCACCGTCGAACGCTTGTTGTTGTTTTTGCGAGCATGAGAGACAGCTTTAGAATATACACCGACTTAATTGTTACCTTTTCCTCATATATTTTTTTTTCTTTTTCTTTTGCTCTACACTGTTATAATGAGTACTTGCTGTGCCAAAAAGTGCCGCTCGGTAGCCGTAAAGCCAATTTTCACCTACTGCTGGCCAAATTGGTGGACGCGTGGTCGACTTGATTAAGTCTCGCTGTGGCCTTAACTGGACATGCTGGGACTGCAGGCAGATTGAAAGCAACATGCGAGTTTTTATGAGACAAACTCATAATGAATTCGCGGCCGTTAACTCTGGATTCCGACTGTTACAGGAAAAGTTTCTTTCTATGGAGTCTCATTTCAAAAATCTTAAAATTTTGACTGAGTCGCCTAAGAGAAAGAAAGGTAACAACAGTTTGAAAAACGTCGGTCTATTTCGTCTAACCTCCTGGAATTCTCCACTTTTGTTCATGAGGGTTTCGCTAAGCAGTCTCAAACTGACGTAGTCTATACTGACTTTAGTAAAGCCTTTGATTCAGTAAATCATAATCTGCTTATTCATAAATTATTTCTCCTAGGGTTTCCCCCTAAACTTCTTTTCTGGTTTAATGCATACCTTTGTAATCGGTCTCAGTGTATTTGCTTTAGTAACTCTCTTTCTCTCTAAGCCTGTTTCTGTATCGTCGGGGATACCTCAAGGTAGCCATCTTGGCCCTCTGTTGTTAAATGTGTTCATCAATTATCTTCCCAAAGTCTTAACTTATTCCCGAGTACTTATGTATGCGGAAGATGTGAAGTTATGTTTCTCCTATAGCGACCCCCGTTATGTCTCCAATCCAATCTTGACGCCCTCAACAACTGGTGCTTAATAAACATTCTTCCCCTTAACATTTTCAAATGTAACGTCATGACATTCCATCGCAGCAAGCCTTACCTTTTTGACTACAATATCCATAACTGTTCCTTAAACCGCCTTTAAAAAATTACTGACTTGGAAACTATCTTTGTACCAAATCTGTCTTATAACTCACACATATCCGCTATTTCGAATAAAGCCAGAGGTGTCCTGGGCTTTATCAAAAGATGGTCTTAGGAGTTCACCGACCCTTATACCACTAATCTTTTATATGTATCCCTTGTCCGGCCTATCCTTGAATATTGTTCCTGCGTTTGGTCTCCGCATTATCAAAAATATTAGGATATGATTGAGTCAGTTCAAAAATAGGCTATAATTTTTGCACTTCGTGTCTTTAATTGGGACGTCTCTAGACATCTTCCTTCTTATGAGAGTAGGCTCCGGCTCCTCGATATCCGCTCTCTTGAAAGCTGCAGGATTTGGCATGGAGTTATTTTTCTTCACAAACGTCTCGCTGGTGCGGTTGATTCCACTGCCCTCAGTAGCCTTATTAGCATTTCTGTCCCTTCCCGCCCGACTAGGCAGTACTTTCAGCTTCATCTTCAACTCTGTCTTTCTAATTACTCTGACCATGAATCTTTCCGTAGCCTTTGCCGTAACTGCAATACCTTCATTCATCTGTTTTCCTTCGAGACTAGTTATATTAAGGTAAAATCTTTGATTACAAATAACTGTAATTAATTGAATCTTAACTTAAAAGGCTAAAGGCTATTTCCAGACTACAACTTGCTGTGAGTCGGCTACTTAGCCAATAAATTAGTCCTATTGGGTCAGGATAATATCCATAGTCTGGTGATCCATGTTTTTGTCATATTCATAATACGGTATAATTTGATAGTTTAACTGCTTATAGTTTAACCTTATAAAATAAATAAAAATAAAAATAGGTCCGTGACCTTTTGTTTAAAAATCAGGTTTTTATTTTTCAACATACAGGCAGGCTCCGGTTTTAACTTTCATTTTGTGTTTTACTTTTCAACTAAAAGTCATACTTTTCATTTCAAGGCGCTCTGGAATCCACTTTTGTGAATTTGTTTACACTTTGTACTGTTAAGCGCCAAATTTAGAGCGCGGAGCATGCTCGATAATCTTATTTTAGCTCTATTTACTTTTTACAGCATTTCTCCAATTTTGTTTCCCTTCATAAAAATAGGATTTGTCAAGGTTCTCAAAATATGCATTTTTTGTGAGATGACTTCATCATTGGACTCCAATATCTTTCCGACTAGCCATTTCTTCTGGTTTGGAGACAAGAAATAGTGACTTGGGACTAAATACAGAGAATAGGGTGAGAAGCATAATTCATGGATTTTTGCTATGGAAACTGGAATCAATGCGGTTAATACCGTGAGGCATTCCAAAAAACGTTCGCCATGACTTTATTGTCTGAAAAACCGAACTGAGGTTTATTTTGCTTAGAATCATACTGAGACTACTGTTCTGACTGCTTTGGTCTCTGGTGTGCTTTGCTGGATACACAGTTTATCCACGTTTTCGAAACGGCAAAAATCTCATCCTTAGTGAGGTTAAAAGCACTCCTTCGAAGTTGTCACACGAGTGCGACTG